ACATGTAGTTAGTAGCAATGTATTGCACTAAGTATGTATATGCAAACACGTATTGCACTCGGCTACCATCCTCTAATATACTGAACTAAAAAAAACATCTCAATGGTAATGTGGTTCCCATACCTGCGCCGCATTGAGTCGCTCAACCTGCCGCGAAAGGACATCACTTTCCGCCTGGGCCTCAGTTATGCGACGGGTCAGTTTTCTGATCTCTTCTTCTGCGAAACGCAACTGTTCCGAGAGATCAGCTTCGCGCTCCTTTGTCGATTGAAGCTCTCGCTGCAGTTCGTGTTCCTCGAGTGAGGGTTCGCGAGATAGGCTCGGGCAAGTAGACGCGCCAGTACGACTCTGTCGGAAAATAAAAACAGCAACAGGTAATGAGAGGGAAGATTGATGACCAGCCAGATTTGGATGACAGAAGCTGCAGCCCGACGACCTTCTAGTAAATACCAAAACCAATGCTTATACCAGCAAATAAATAGCAAGAAAATGACGCCTCTGCTGACAATGCACGAGAATAATAACCTATCCCATCTCTTCTCAACCCCTCCCCTATTCCGAGACCTTGTGCTAACTTCCAGGGCGGCTAGGTAAAGGTAAGGGTTAGTATTGAAGTTGGCGTTAGGGTGAAGGGATAAAATTGCGCTTAAGATTATGGTTGAGATTTGTATTAGATTTGAGATTAAGTTACCAGTAAAGTTTAAGTTTTCCCTTAAGAGTAAGAGTTAGAACCACGACAAGGGGATTCCTACCCATCCTTTTTTTGTGCAACGGCACATGTTCCACAGAGCGTGGGGGGAGGAGGAAGGGGCTCTGTTCCCATCTGCCAGAGATAAAAATTATCCTAACTTCGTTGCCGTTCGCCTCACCGTTAATGTCGGAGGTAAGTGGCCCTTGGCCGTTTGGTTTGGAGACCCCTTTATCTTAAATGGCGTCTGTCAGACACTGGCCTGCAAAACTCTGCCATCTGTCTGTAAGAGGCTCAGGGGTATATGCCATGCGTGCCTTCCTACTGTGGGCAAAGCGACATCGCTCAATTGTCGAAAGGCACCCATACGCTAAAACCCTTGTGGCACTTTTTTCACGGGGGTAGGTGAAGTTTACATTTCACTGGCTCAAAGCGCATCTCACGAGGACTTTCTAAAAAAAGTACTTTAATTATTTTCCTCTACAAAGCGTGGTTGTGGTGCTGTTGAAATCAAAGGAACCAATTGGAAGTTCGAAGGGGCTTCCTATCTTCCCCAAATAAACTGAAATGAACTGAATTCAGCCAATCATTCGTTTATACACAGTTGTATATCCAACATCAGCAAGAAACCTGCTATTCAACTTCTGGGCGGGTCTTCAGCTACAGCGAGGAGTCACACCCTCTTTTGGAGTCGCATATATTGCTATAGTTATCCCCAGATGGTTTCTAAATTTGTTTCTTCGACAGATTATTATTGAGATTTATCGTGTAGATAATCAGGCGTATACAATCGTCATATTCCCGATCACTACTGACCATAAAACGGGCTCGCTGCCCAAAGGTAAAGTGTCATACTCAAGGGACAAAATGTCACGGAATCGAATTTCGGGGGATCCATGCCCGGTATTGAGTATGACTGGCTGATGACGGCTAATAAGCTATAAGTGGCTATTACAGTCTCCCCTACCTTTTTGAGCACCACCTTATCCGCGCATACTAAAAGTCGCCGAGAGATTATCTGCGAGGGCCCTCAATTGAACTCCGAGGAGCTACAGAATAAACATGTTCTGTAACCAGATTGATGAGCCTCCAACTATCATACACTGGTTCTTATAAAAAGAGGCCTATTATCAGCAAATAAAAATCAATGAACTTACAGCTTTCTTGTCCGTCACTTGCAGCGGCCCGCGTTCCGAAAAACCGGTTTTCGACTTCACTTTATCCAGCTGAAATGAGATGCAATGAAATACTCAACTTATTATTTTCAAAAAAACGAAATCGCTGTTTTCTCCACATTCAGTTTGCTCGCGTAAGTTAGTGGAATGCTCTAACCCATGTTTCCTGTACATACACAGAAAACACGACCGCCAAGGTTTAGCGAGCAGCAATCAGTATACCACTCAATTTACTCTGGCCGTCGAGCCATTTTGTTTGTATCAGGCCACAAAAATCAGCTGCGCTCCGAGGATGCATGGTGCCTTGTACGTCATGAAGACTGGTTTAATGAAACTGACTCACGGCGTGCGCTAACAAACACACACACTGCATTTTAATGCAAGATGACGGGGATATAAGTGTGTGCAGTGGATAACAAGACAGAGGTCACGTATATGCGTACTAAACATGGCCTGCGTTACAATTTTGCACCAATCAGGCTCTAGTAAGGGGGAACCTGATCTCAACTGAATGCGTGCATTAAGAATTTGGTAAGGATAGGTTATAGGTCTCACCAAAGTAACCCAAAGTTCCGTATTTATATTTTACAGAACCAATGAAAAAATAAATTCTAATCCTTTCGCATGCAGTAATAGCCTATCTGTTGGACCATATATTTGCACAGAAACCAAGCCTTCCTTCTTACCTCTACGTTTAGGTTGTATCTAAGAATCTATGTATATACAGTATATAGCGTATCAGGCAGGAGTTTCCTTGGTAGTGGTCTCGGATACAGCAAGCCGTAGGTTT